AATTCGCGATCTTTTTACGCCAGAGGGCGATGACAGAGGCCTGTGGGGGGACGGGGCGGCGGACAGTGTGCGCGGGGGGGTGGGGCATGCTGCCGAGGAGAGCTGCCGCCTGCCGGCCAGCTGCAGTGCCCGAGGGATGGCCCTGTGCGAGGCTAGGGTCAGGGGTGGGAGTCAGGGCTAGTGGCCGGCTTGACCTTGTGCGACGCGATCGCGCTTCCGATCACCGCCTCACAGAGCGAGAAGATGGAGGCGCTGTGCGGCGCGAGGCTGAGGCCCGACAGCGCCGCGAGCAGGAAGACGAGCCCAGGCCTCGCTCCGGGGGAGGGGGCGCCCCTCGTGCCGACGCAGCTCGCGACGAGGAGGAGCTCGCCCGCAGCCCACACCTGCTCGCAGCTGGAGCCGTGGAGAGGCCCACAGCTCGCCACGCGCAGCTGCCCGCACCCCTGCACGCCGTCGCGGTGCCGAAGCGGCGGCCGAGCAGCGGGAGGGCGAGCGAGGTGCAGATCGCGACGAGGGCCTGGAGAGCGAGGCTGCAGAAGGCGAGTCGCAGCCCGCCAGCCGGCAGAAGCAGCGGCACGTGCAGCGGGGTCGACACGCCGACCTGCGGACAACGGACCGGAGAGCGTTGGCCTTCTCCCTCCCTCCTCTCGCCTCTGCCCCGGCTCGGCCGCCCACCCACTCGGTCCACCAGAAGGCCTGGCACTGGATGAGAGTCCAGCCGAGGAACTGGCACGCCAGCAGGAGGGCGAGCTGCGCGCGGCTGTGCCGAGGGAGGCGGCGAGCCTGGGCGGAGAGGAGCCAGGGGGCTGGGCGAGGGGGCGGGAGGGGGGAGGAGTGCCGCCGGTGAGCCGCGCGCCACAGACAAGAGCGTCGCAGCCTCCTCGCACACTGCAGTCCCGGCAGCCTCCTCCTCCTCCGTGCCTGCCGCCGGCGCCACGGCGGAGGGAGGGAGGGCGGAGGCGGCCTCGGAGGCGGCTGCGGGCAGCAGCGGCGCTGCGTGGCGCTCTCCCGTCGGCGCGTGCGAGTCGGCGGCGCCCGCGACGAGGGCGGCGGTGACGGCGCTGGCGAGGAAGAGCGTGCTCAGGTTGAGCAGCGCGACAAAGTGGCGGTAGGAGCCGTCGGGCTCGGCGCTCGCCCCCGCGGGAGCAGTGGCGCCGCGGGGCGAGAGGAGGGCCTCGAGCGGCGCACTCCCGGCGAGCAGCGCCAAGAGGCGGCCCGCCATCTGGAAGGCGGTGAAGTCTGCGTCGACGCTCTCCGCAGTCCTGCCGCCGCCGCCGAGGAGGTCGTGGGCGAGGGCGCGGCCTGGAACGAGGAGAAGGTCATGCGCACAGTCCATGGCGGTGAAGGCGGCGAAGACTGTCACCACCTCTGACTGGCGGCCCCAGCCGAGGCGGCCAGCCAGCTCATGCGACCACGCCACCACCTGCAGCCCGACCACGGCCAGCAGGCCGAGGAAGAGGAGGAAGGGCCGCCTCCGGCCGAAGCGAGAGGTGCAGCGGTCGCTGGCGTGGCCGACCGCTGGCTGCGCCACGAGGCCGATGCACGGGTTGAGAACATAGACCAGCCCCGCAATCGTCGCCGACAGGTTCAGGCCTCCGACGAGGTGCGGAATCATGACCGTCTCTCCAGCCGCCCATCCAAACTCGACTGCCGCGCCCGTGAGCAGCAGGCAGGCCCTGCGGAGCCGTCCGACGGCCATGGGCCGAGTGGAGGCCTGTGAGGGGCGGCAGTTGCAGGTCGCACGGCGCAGTAGCGTGGGGTCCGAGCGTACCACCAATTTCAGCACTCCACGCCGGTGTCGAGGGCGGCGAGTCCTCAGACAGTCTGACAGCGCGCGAGGATGTGTCGAACCCACGCCGGTGTCGGTGAGAGACTGTCTGCTATAGCCGCAGCCACTCCCAGCTGCTCGGTGTGAACAGAGTTCGTACACCGCTCCGCAAGACCGAGGCCCTCGGTGTTCACAGCGGAGTGGCTGGGGCTATACCAGACAGGGTGAGAGAGAGTTCTGTTTTGTTGAATTCTTTACCAAGTTGCAACCCTTGTTCCGCACTCGGCTGTGAACGCTGCTGTTTGCCGCCGGTTGAGCAGCACCCCGTCCCCATCCAGGTTGGTGGTTGCTGCCCCAGGTCCCGCACTATGTAGGTGCACTGCTTCAGCAGCGTGCACCTACTCGATCGACGATCCTGGTTGGTCGCTGGTGTCGGTTGCGCAACCTTTTTGCCGACCTCCGAGCCCAGATAGCGCGCCGTGTCTGATCCTCGTCGGCATCTGCTTCCGGGCCTGGCGGCCCGCCACAAGGACTTAGGTGAGAAGTGCCCGCCGAAACATCGGAACGACGCTGCTCCGCTCGACTTGGTTGGTTGCTGGCAGCACCCCAGCACCGGGGGGTCCTGAGAGCTGTTGGTTGGTGCTCTGTTCACAGCACAGTACGGAACAAGGGTTGCAACCTGGTAAAGAACTCGCTCGCAGGGCCAAGACGGCTATGGAAAAAGAAATAACTATTCTTGCCAGGTCGTGTCCTCTTTCTCCCTTCGACTCGGTGGTGACTATTGACGCCGGCTCGTGGTCTAGGATTTTCGCGTCTCTCCTTCGGGCGAAGAAGTCGTGGACTCCCGGTTCGTGAACAGCTGAGAGGCCGTCGAGTGTCGGGAGGTATATCTGCTCGATGCGGGTCGATGTTGTGCTTTTGGTTCCATCTCGGAGGGAGATGTT